CTGTGCTTTAAATTAAATCCATGCTTTAATTCAGGGCCCAGGAAGCAAAGATGAAGGTCTTGAGGAACTGTTCTTCAGCAGTTTTCTGTTGTAATATGAAGATTTTTTCCCCCCAAGTTCCTTCATCCATGAAGTGCTGACCTTGAAGAAGGACCCCTTCATCCCCACTGGTTTTTGAACATGGCCATTTTTCCATATGTAAAAAAAAAAAACAGATATTGCTGGCAAATGATGTCATATCTAGAGGCTGACCCGCGAGATTATGCACCTGCTGCCAGAACAAGGGCTGATTCCTGTAGTTATATTTCAGTTTTGAGGCCTCTTGTTACCAACAAGTAACCTTCACAAATTCGTTGAATTAAGACTGCTTACATTGGAAGACTGGGAACAGATTTAAGGAGAGCCCATGGGTTTGCAGACAATATAATCTGTGAACTGAAGAAAATTGGAAAGCAAGTTTAAATCTAAGTTTCCGGCTGTAGAGCCACTCCAAGACATTTTTTCTGCTTAAGTAAAAGGATTTTAAAAATGCGTACACTTGTTCCTGTTTCAGCACTAGCAAGGAGATAGTTTTATTCACCCCATTAGAGCACAGCCAGGGAGCTTAAGAGACACAGGACCGGTTATGTAGCACCCATAAGTCTATTCTCTAATGCAGTGGTTCCCAACCTGGAGTCCCCAGAGGTTCTTGGACTAAAACTCCCAGAAGCTTTCACCACTACCTGTGCTGGCCAAGATTTATGGGAGTTGTAGTCCAAGAACGTCTGGGGTCTGGGGACCCCAAGCACCAGCAGCTTGAGGCAGCTGCCTTACTTTGTCTAATGACAGGACTAGTCCTGCCTGTCTTAAGTACCTGGCCATCCATCTGTTTCAACGTTCAGCAGCCTTTAGCTGCTGAATAGCTCCATAGGTTGGGAGTTCGATTCCCCTCTGTGCCTCCTTGACGGGTTCGACTTGATGATCCATAGGGTCCCTTTCCAGCCTTGCAATTCGAAGATTTAGTTTTGCACACAAGTAGTAAATGAAAGAGGCAAATAATTATCTTTGCAAAATCTGGAAAGAATATGGGCTGTGATCAGAATTTGGAAAAATAGCTCTTGGGACCTTTTAACTCTCAAAATCTATGGTGTCAATGTAGACCATGCTGATGAGGGATTCTGGGAGTTGAAATCGAAAAAGTTTATTTCCCAAGCTCTGATTGTGATCTGGCCACTGAGCTGCATAGGAATCGCAGTCACCTCTTCACTTTACTTGTCTCTGTGCTTCGCTTCCATGTTTCCTCATTTGTTAGGACTTCTTGTGTCAAGTCTGCCACCTGCTGGTCGAAGTAAGGAACAAGTTGCATATATTTTTTGGAAATGCCCCAAATATATTTTTGCCTTCCCCACCCCTCCACCTCGTGGCTTTGGAGAGAGGAAATCAGGAAAAATCTGGCGTGTGGAGCTCTAGGCTTAGAGCTGGCATATGAAGCAAGGAAAAGGTCTTAGCTCTCCAAACCTGGAACACTACCATTCCTGTTAAAAATAGTCCTTGTCAAATAACCAAAACATATGGCCTCTGTAATTCTTACAAAAGTCCTATAAAAAGGTCAACCACAATCATCCTCAGGTCACAGATGGGAGAACAGTGGATTGCAGGTCTCTGAAGAAGTTTATGGGTGCGAAAAGATTTCCCTGCTATTGATTATGCAGTGTAAACCTGTGGAGGTTTACTCAATAGTAGGTCTCTGCATTCAAAAGCATTTACTGTACTTCCAAGTAAGTGTAGTATTCCAGTCTTTGCTATTAGGTGGCACCAAAATACACATGCTGGAGCAGAGCATAATACAGTGCAAGTTAACTTTTAATGAAAATGAGATTAAAGGTCCTCTATGAAGAGCCAGGGACGTGGTGGCACTGTGGGCTAAACCGCAGAAGCCTCTGTGCTGCAGGGTCAGAAGACCAGCCATTGTAAGATCGAATCCACGCGACGGAGCGAGCTCCCGTCGCTTGTCCCAGCTCCTGCCAACTTAGCAGATCGAAAGCATGTAAATGTGAGTAGATAAATAGGGACCACCTCGGTGGGAAGGTAAAACGGCGTTCCCTAGTCACACTGGCCATGTGACAACGGAAACTGTCTTCGGACAGGCGCTGGCTCTATGGCTTGAAAAGCGGGATGAGCGCCGCCCCCTAGAGTCGGACACGACTGGACTAAAAATGTCAAGGGGAACCTTTACCTTTACCTTTTTATGAAGAGCCAGGTCTGAGGCACTGGAAGTGAGCGACACTGGTTTGGGACTGAGATGCAGGGATTAGTCCACTCCAGGTTTTATTCTGAACTATACGGGAGGTACCTAAAGGGCTGAATACCACTCATTGGTCCAGCATCTATAAAGTTCAGACTAAAACCTCGAGTGGATTTACTGGGAATCACTTCCGCTGGTGTGAGTAGACTTTGTCTAGAGGGGCGGAGAATAAGTCCAAATAAAGTAAAGTAAAAGTAAAGAAATGCCAGTATTCAAAGTTGTCTGGAGAGCCATAGATCTGAACCGACTGGGCTCCGACATCCAGCAAGTGGGGTGAACAGCCTACTGGCCAGAGCCGTCCTGTGCACACCCCTATATAAGCTACTTCTTATTAAACAAAAACAGAATGTCAGAGCTTGGAAGTAATACATGAAAGGAAAAGAGAGGGAAAAATGTAACCCTTGGACACAATCTGAAGTCAAGAGTGGGTGATACTTTTATGGAACCACTTTTTTTTTAAAAATAATGAATATAAGCCATCAGGCTGGATGTTACAGAACTAGGAGTGGCCCCAAAGACATGTAAATGTTTGAAAATCCGCAGCGAGATATGTGAGGATTGGTGAGGTGTTACTGAGCAACTGGCAAGAGCCTCTTGGCGCAGTGGTTAAACTGCTGTCCTGCAGCCAAAACTGTGCTCACGACCTGGGTTCAAATCCCAGGTAGCCGGCTCAAAGTTGACTCAGCCTTCTATCCTTCCGAGGTCAGTAAAATGAGTACCCAGCTCGCTGGGGGGGGGCAATGTATAGCCTGCATAATTAACTTGTAAACTGCCCAGAGAGCGCTTGAAGCCCTATGGGGCGGTATGTAATCAGCACGCTTTCCTTTTGCTTTTTGGCAACCTTTTCTTTAAGGAGGGTAACACAACACGAGAAGAGCCCTGCTGGATCAGGCCAAGGGCCCCTCTAGTCCAGCTTCTTGTACTGTATCTCCCACGGGGGTTTACCGTTCGCCTCTGGGAGCCCACGAGACAACAAGATCCCTGTCTCCTGATGCCCCTCCCCTGCATCTGGCCTTTGGAGGTGGGAGCAATATTTTAATTTCACCCAGGGATGAAACCTGAAACCTACAACTTCTGAACAATTTTTCCAGCCCCCTTTTCGGAACTTGCTTTAAACAGCGAAATTTGGCCTGCTCACTTGACCATGAATTTTGGTCAATCTGTGTTTGTTCTGCACACACCCCCTCCCACTTACCCTGTTCTGTAATGCTCAGCCTGATGAAGACTCGTGCACAGTCGAAAGCTGGCTCAGGTTTTGTTGAGTGATTGAATAAAGGTGTCATCTATGTTTGTTTTTGTTTCTGTCATGGCCACTGGCTGTATAAGTCTTCAGTATACTGTTTCCACCTTCTCTTTTGAGAACCTCCTACCTTCTGCAGCTCCCTGGACCACCCATCCCCACCCCCATCTGTTGTTGGGGGGTTTAGTTGTCATTGCTAACAGAATGGAATGTCAGGGCGGCAAGAGATCTCTTCAAGAAGATCCAAGAAATGAAAGGGGAATATAAGCCTCCATTAAGAATGCTGAATGACCAATAGGGAAGCAGGGAATCTGACCGGAGAAAAGAGATGAGGTCATCAGCCTTACAGGATGTAGCTGTAGGAACAGGATTTCAGCCAGAGTGTTACATTTTAGGGATGTAGAGTTATTGAAACACAGTGGCTGAAAACTACTAGTAAGTCACGATTGGAGTAGGTCCACTGAATCACTGGGGATTTTGTGAGTCACCTTCTCCATAGGTTCTCTTAATTCAATGGGCCGGCTCTCCTCTGCCAGTGTCACCTTCATCTGCCACTGGTGCTCAGTAGCTGGCTTGAAGAGGGTGGCAGCACCTTAGTCTGGGGTCTCCACTGCATCCATTCTGCCTCGGGTGACCCTCTTAGGAGTCCAGGCTTATACAGTCGTGGATTCTGGCTTCCTAATGGCATTGCTCTCAGCATCACTGAGATATTAAAACCTCCCTTTTTTTCAATGTTAGAGGCCCATTAAAGGTGCCTGAACGATGTGCATGTTTATTCTTAGCAAACATGCATAAAGAGGATGCTCATAGCCGGATTGCTCTGCCTTTGATGCCAGGAGCTCTGGCCATTTTGCAAGCTGGAGATGGCTCTGCTGAAAACAATGGTTTTTTTTTCCAATTTGGTGGATTCCTCATTGCACAAATGGTGTGGGAGGGAAAGGAACCCCCACATAGAACAGATGGCATGATACAACAGGATAGCTGGTGTACTCGGTCTTCTGAGGAGCATGACAACTGCTCTTGTGTTATATGCAGCACTATCCACGTTGGGTTGAATGTAGATCCTCTCTCTTGTCTCCAATATTTTCAGTGGGTACTGCCAAGGCCACATTCTGAAGCGGGCTCTCTTGGCCCCCAGCGCTTCCTCACTGAAGGACACTACAGTGATTGACATGTAAAGCCCGTGCTTTCCTTGGTTCATGACAGCTCCCAGGCCCTGCTGTTCTGTCTCCATCGGCACCCAAAATCCAGACCAAGGGAACAATGGACAAGTGTTCCAGAGAGTGCCAGCCAAGAGGCTGCCGGTATCAGTTACAAAAGCAAGGATGAAAAGACCAGCTGTTTGAGTTGATCATGAAGCTCCCCATTCATCTGAAACAGGGCTGCTCTCTTCCCCAGGGGGCCCCCATTTTCTCCTTCTTACATTTCAGGAAACTAAAACTAACCCTCCCCTTACAGCATACCTGCTTCGTCATGTGATGCTGCACTTTTCTGGGCTATTTAAAGGCCGCCGGGGCATCTCTGTTGGCTCATTTTAAGGGGCTCCTTTTTGCTGAGTCACAGAGCGGAGAGGAACAGGATCCTTGGTGGCTGGACCCAAGCAAGGCGGCATCATGGCGTGTGTGAGTCAACGGGTTCCCTGGGAGGCAATGTTGGTATTGGCTTTGAAGAGTCAGCCAGTGGAAATGGGCGGGCCATCCGGGGTGCATGTTGAGAATAAATGGTTTGTCCTTTTCAGAGGCCAGTGAGTGTTTCCCTCGGTGCGTTATGGCTTGTCTCTCTTGGTGCGTTTTGTCGCCAGCTTCTCTTTTCTTATCAGAGCTTGGAAAAGTTGATTTTTGGATGCCAGCTCCTGGAATCTCCTAGGCAGCAGGCCTATGGCTGTGGGGGGCTCTAAGAGATTCTGGACTATTGTAGTCCAAACAAGATTTTTTCCCAAGCTTTGTTTCTTGCTAGTTATTCTTGGTGACGCCATTGTGATAGCATCAGGCAGCTTTCTAGTTCAAGGATCGAAACCTTTCATTCTGAAAGCTTGCCTACCACTGAACCAGAGGTGACTAGACTAAAGAATTAATATATGCACCTTGGGATGGAAGCTGGGGCTTTCTGTAAGAGCATCGTTCACGATGAACTGGATGTGTTTTTGTGCCCCCCCTTCTTTCCCTGAAAATGAAAAAAAATTTAAGAAGTTAACTGTCTAAGAAGTTATTTTTTCGATTATGACCCCAGAATGGCCACAGCCTACCGGCTAGTGAACTCTGGAAGTTGAAGTTCGAAAGAACGAAAGGCGGCCAAGACAGGGTTTGAGGAGGGCTTTAAAATTCCATGCCTGAAAAAGGCTGACATGCAAAATCAGTTTTATTTATTTATTACCCTATTGAGAGGTGGTGTTGTAACAGTTCTCAGGCTGTATGCCTTTTTTAAAAAATCTGAGCTGTCTCTGTGTATTCCTCTCTTGGGAATCTTAAGGATGTTATGGGGGAATAACATAGGAGGAAGAATGAACATTTTCATCCTGAAGGTGCAAGGAAATATAGCCCTCCAGCTGGAAAACGTTGGCAACTGCTAGGCCGGGAGTTCCTGCCTGCCTGCATATGAACTAAGAATATATTGACTGGAAAGTCATTTAAAGATAGTTTGCAGCTATGACCGGGAGTTGTATTCGACACACCCATAACATTCTGATCTGTGCAGGAATAGAATACAGTAGAACAGCATCTAGTCCCGTTGTGCAGCTGATGAGTGCCTTGTTAATTTCTGTTCTTATATTGGGGGAGGGAAAGACTTTGGACTAATAAAGGAATAACATAAAACATGAAAAAATCCTGCCAAATGTCCTTTAGAAGTCACTTTTCAAATATAAATTTTAGGAGGCAGCTTGAATATATTACGTTATATCAGCAAATAACTTGAATATTACTTGCAATATTTTTGGGAATGTAGCCTAGTTAATAACAATTGTGTACTATCAAGCCAATTCTATAACAACAGTTTTGAATTGTGGTGCTGGAGGACACTCTTGAGAGTCCCCTGGACTGCAAAGAGAACAAACCTATCCATTCTGAAGGAAATCAACCCTGAGTGCTCACTGGAAGGACAGATCCTGAAGCTGAGGCTCCAGTACTTTGGCCATCTCATGAGAAGAAAAGAGTCCTTGGAAAAGACCCTGATGTTGGGAAAGTGTGAAGGCAAGAGGAGAAGGGGACGACATAGGACGGGATGGTTTGACAGCGTCACCAAAGCAACCAACATGAATTTGACCCAACTCCGGAAGGCAGTGGAAGACAGGAGGGCCTGGCGTGCTCTGGTCCATGGGGTCACAAAGAGTCAGACACAACCTAATGACTAAATGACAACAATAAAACCAGTTTTTCTGGGTTTGCTGGATTAACAAGAAAACCAGTTTTTCTGGGTTTGCTGGATTCCTCTGGCTGTTTGGAAATAAACCATTGTTTTTCATTTGCCATTTTGTCCTTTGCTAGAATTTCTTTTAATGAGAGGGAGATGATGGAAAAACTAGAAAAGAACGGCCATTCTTACAGCATGTTTTTAGTCCATCTTTCCTTGCTTGTCAAAGCAGCTAAAATAATTTTCTTTTTGTTTGAAACGTTGCAATTAATTATTTTTGTGTGTTGTGGGGGTGTGTGAGAGAGAGAGATTGAAAGACACACACACACACACACACACACACACACACACACACACACACACACACACACACACAAAAGAATCTGCAGACAAACTAACAGGCCAGACAGCTTAGCAAAAACAATCCAATCAATGAAACTGATCCCAAACAGCGAAAAACACTTATTGAATATATTTCTGTGATGCTTTTTAAGGAAAACCCCTTTCAAACTAGATAAAACAATAAAATATTTTTAAAACAAGATAATAAAAAGGTAAAGAATCTTTCTAAAACTTTGAAACAAAATCCTTACAGAATGGGAAGTAAACCACTTTGGAGCCAAGCCGTGAAAAGAGGAAAACACCCATATATGTATCACTGGCCCTATAAACGTTGGCGTTTTCACTCCACAAACAGAAACATTGTCGTGGTGCAGAGAAGTGCCGAACTCCTGAAGCGTCGGGCTTCCTGACCCTTTTTGACGATAAGCTGTTTCGCGGCGTCAACCTGACACACCCAATTCTTGGGCAACCGGAACAAAATGCAAACACCACAGAGGACTGAAATATTCAGCGAGCCATGAAAATATGAAGGAATGCAACCAATAGCAGCTCTTAAGGATCAAGTGGCCATTTCAGTTTATACACGTTCCTGAGAATTTCCCTTTCCCATCACCTCAGTACATTTGAATAATATGAATAAGCAGGATTTCAGGATCTCGTTTTTCAGAATTAAGATTCTGTGTACATGCAAAGAGGTCCGAGAAAGGCCCAAACTTTCCTTCGGACCGAAAAGATGGGTGGCACTTGGGGTTTTGAATGGCCAAAGAGCCCGAAAAACCCACAACAACCATCAGATCCTGGCCATGAAAGCCTTCGAGAATACAATATTAGGTTTTTCTGACAAATCTGTATTCTCAACCCTCTTTCCATTGACTGACCGAGCGCTGGTTGTTTATATGTTCTTTGCTCACATCCGATATACTCAGAAGTCTGCCCAGAAGGGTCTTCTATAGCCAGGACCGATGGGCTTCACTTCCTTCCAGACGCCACACCCTGGCTGTACAAACACAAGGAGTTTGCCGTTTGTCCCTCTGCCCTAGGAAGATCAACATAGACCAGTGGCCATTCTCTGGGATTGGAGGCAGGAGTTTTTCTAGCACGACCTGTCAATGCGGCCAGCAGAGGTGGTGATGAAGGCTTCTGGGTGTTGTAGCCCAAGGATATCTGGAGGCCCAAGGTTGGGGACCCCTGTTCTAGAGCCTCTACTTTGCAAATGAACAATGGTTTCCACGATGCCCAGGTGAGGACAGGGAGCTGGAAGGGCCTCCAGATGCCATGAAATTACTGTACTACTCCCTTTATCTCTCATTGTTGGATGGGCTAGCAGGGGCTGGTGGGAACTGGAATCGACCCACATGTGGCAGGCCCCCCGATTCTTCTCCTGTGTTGAAAGGTGTCTACTTCTATGTCCTTGCTGTGATCACACAGTAATCTCAAGTCAAGCTGCCGTCGGAGTGTTTTTAAAAGCCTGATTTTTGTTTCCCCGCAGGGATTGGTTGCAACGCACCTGAAAATTTTTCCTGGAGACAGTGTGATAGTTAAGGGGAAGATTTTGTCTGGTTGCCAAGGGTAAGTTGAGAAGGAATCCGCTGGTAACTCTTTCCTTGTTTCCTGTGTGACATCAAGTTCGCAGGTAGATTTGTTTCAGTTTAGAGGGCCCTCTACTGTTTGTGAACAAGTTGGAAAAGTGACTGCCTGGACTAGGATTTCCACTATCCTCTCGCCAGCGTGACCAATTTTCCAAGTCCTGTTAGTGTGATTCTTTTACACACACACACACACACACCACACACACACACACACACACACACACACACACACACACACACACACACACACTTTTTATTTTTGCAGATTAAAAAAAACTAAATTGGACTAGAAAAGAAAAGACCAACAAAAGACTCACAGTATACTCACTGTCTTTAGCTCGAAATATTGTCTTCTAATGATGCCTTTTGTCCTTTTAATGGAAAAAGGCAGGATAAGAACATTTTTAAATGTATAATAAAATAAATAAAAAAGACGGGACAGAGAAAACTAAGAGCAGTAAATACAGCAATGTTAAGGCTTCCTATAAAACACCATTTGCAATAGTTGTAATCATCACCACATACATCTCAAATTAAGCATATAAATCACGGTGGGCCTTCCAGATGTCCACTGTTGGAATCATTCTTAGTGTGGAGTGCTGGATTGGGGCCACGTTGGTAAGAGAGTTTCCATCCTCTGGGGTGACCACAGTTATTTCCTGATCAACCTGAATGGCGGTCTGTATTTGACCAATCAAACAAACAACACGGGTGCATCAAGAATTAGATCTTTGCATTTGCAAAGGCTTTCATGGCCAGGATCTAATGGTTGCTGTGGGTTTTTTGAGCTCTTTGGGCATGTTCTGAAGGTTGTTCTTCCTGACGTGCCTGGACGGCGGTCTGTATTTGACCAATCAAACAAGCAACACGAGTGCATCAAGAATCAGATCTTTGCAGTCCTTCTGGACTTCCCAGTCTCTGTGGCCGGCATCTTCAGAGATGTCCTCTGAACAACAATCAATCAGATCTTTGCAGTCCTTCTGGACTTCCTGTTAACCCTCTCCTGTTTGTACACCCCAACATTGGGTTCTCATTTCTCTCTTTCCCCCTCTCAGTTTTGAGGTGAATCTGGGCAAAGACTGTGACAATCTGGTGCTTCACTTCAATCCACGCTTCGACTGCAAGGGGGACGTGAACACCATTGTGCTCAACTCTAGGAAGGAAGGGACCTGGGAAGAGGAGAAGAGGGAATCTCACTTCCCCTTTGAGCAGGACAGCAACACAATGGTGAGGTGGAAAAGACTAAGGGGTCCAATGGGAATGGGTGGTGTGGAGCGTGGTGTATATCTTCTCTGAGGTTAATGGTGATGTCCTGGAGGAATTAGGTGAGGGAGGGTGGAGTTCATTGTTTACATGGGAGAAGGGTCCCATTTCTGTCAGGGTTGAGTAATTGTGGCTTCCAGATGTTTCTGGCCTTTATCTCACATCTGTCCCTGCAAAAGTGTTGCAGAGTTGAATTTTTTTGGTTCACTTCCTCTGGCAACACAGAAGGGCAGGGTTTCACAGAGCAGAATCATTCCAAGTCCCCCAGATTAATCCATCCCTTTATTCATTAAGCTTGCCGTTATAGTCTTGATAACTTACTCTGAGACATTAGTAGCAGAGAGAACAAAAGGTTTCATTACTTAACAACGGAACAGATCAAATAGCCAATGGACAAATATAACTGCTTTCAGCAATAGACTTCAACAGATTCATTGTTTCCAATAAACTTCAATCGAGGGGGGAAAAAGACACAGAGCAGAGAGGCGGGACTCTCTTTGAATTCAGAGGCTGGGAGGGAATGATTGGTTAGTGCTGGATAGATTGACAGTCACCCCAGCCCGGAAAGGTCCCTCCCAGCCACACCTACGAGAGGCAGCATGCGAGGTTGCAAAAACTCCAACAGCAAGCACAGGGAGAAGTGAGGAATTATGGGGGCAGTAGCCTACAAACCTCCAGAGGGCTACCCTTGTCCACCCCTGGTTAACATGTCCATGGAACTGGAATATACCCAACAAGAACTACAGTATGACCCTCTTATCTGCAGGATGAGTATCCGCTGACTCACTTACACAGGGTCTGGAAATATTAGAACTATTAAAAGAAAAATCTTCAAAACATACATTTTAATGATAAAGGTACTAGAACCAGCCACTAGAAGGGGCCATGCTATGCATAGCATTCGCTAGAGAAATATATTGCTACAATGTTATTACCAGAACTGGTCACTAGAGGGAGCCAGAAGCAATGCAATGTACAGCATTTGCTATTATAATAGTGTTTGCGATCATCCACATTTTCAGCATCCATGGGATGGGGTGGGGCTTGGAACCGATCCCCTGCATAGGGTGGGGTGGGGCTTGGAACCGATCCCCTGCAGATACAGGGGTCCTACTGTTAAGGCCCACAGCGACGTAAAAGACCCTTAGATATCCCAGCACACTCACAATGTTTTCTCTGACTTTGTTTTTTTGTTTTGTTTTGTTTTGTTTCCACAGTGATGTAAAAGACCCTTAGATATCCCAGCATACTCACAATGTTTTCTCTGACTTTTTTTTTTTTGCAGGTCACCTTTACATTTGATGCTAACGAAATAAAAGTGAAACTGGCAGATGAACATGAGCTCTGCTTCCCTAATCGCTTGGGCCTTGATAACATTGAGTATATTGCAGTGGATGGAGATTTCAAAATCAAAGTCCTCAAATTTGCCTGACTCAGTTATCTGTTCCTGCAACCTAGCAGTGTAACCTGAGTAAAATCCAAAATGGTGCTTAGCACATTGTCGTAAAATTTGATGCTTTGCTCCTTTCATTCGGTTGACATGTTGCCCTCTGAAAAGGAAACTTTAATTTAGAGTTTCCTGAAGCAAAATGCCCCAGGGTCTCCTTGTTTTTTTGTATCTGCTCTGATAAGCTGTCTTGACCACTGGCTTTTTTTAAATTGTAAAATAAACTCTGATGTGCTTTGAGATTATGGGTGCAGTGTATTGCTGTAAAATGGAACATTTCTGACTACTGCAAATCGCAGGCTGAAACTGCATGCCTGTGGGCATTGTATAAATTGCTCAGAAGATCCTTTTGTATAGCTTATTTGGAGTGGGTAAGACTCTGTGAACTCACTGGCTGAAATCCTGTTGCATAACTTAGGCCTGTGGAAGAGTGATGTCAATGGAAAAGGTTGATTTTGGGTAACTAAAAACTTCCTACTTCTGTCCTGTGGCTTGTCTGACCCGCATGTAATCCTACTCATTGTGTGGACACTGCGGGATCGAAAGGGGGAGTCTTTAATAAAATCAGTACTACTTTATGACATTATTAGCAAGGGGTGATTTTCAATGCTTCCTATGCTAAGCGACCGGATTTCAGCCAATGACTCTCCTTTTTGGTGATGGATGATCATCCTATTGCTGAAATCAAATGTAGTGCTATTACATTGTATCCTAAATTGACCCATTTAAGGAATACTTAGGAGTAGGGGGTTAACAATGTGTATTTCATAGGAATTTGTGGCTATACACACACACCCCTTCTCTCCCACAGAAATTGCTGCCATGCTGCCAGAATAAAGCCTTAAACAGGATCTCATCGTTGCTGAAATGAAAATGACAACAATTACAGGTTTCTACTGCCTTCTCGATGGGTTTCCTGCCATTCGCAGGAGTAAAACAAGCCTTCTTTTGACTTTCTCAAAGATCTTGTCCTGAGCACCTATGCGTCAAAGGCTTCTCCCAGTGATGAGTGGGAGGAAGGAAAATGCAGCTGCTCCACCCCACTCCAACTTCACAAATCTCAGGCTGCCAGCTGGCAGGATGGCCATTCAGCTGCTGGTAATGAGAGGAGTCCTGACAGCAAGCCTCATCAAGGGAAACAGCTGCGATTTTTCTTGCTCTCCATAACGAACCGAGAAAGAAGAGCTGGTAGAACTGGAAAAGGAAGAAAGTTGTGTCTCTCGGTGTTATCTCAAGTGTTGCATTAAGTCCTCCTTTGGATAAGCAAGAGTATCATCTAAGGCAGCTGTTGAGGTGACGCCCTGCACCGTACAGTGGAAGAAAAGGAGCACTGAGATTAATTAGTCAAGAGCTTAGAGGCAGTGAGTTACAAATAACGGAGGGTTGCCTGAAGCAGGACAGAAGTCTGTGCGAAATAATGGGTTCCATACTATTGGTTTTGGTGTTTTTCCTGCCATCTAGGTGATGAAAGGCTTGATATGAAATGCCCAGTACTAGAGATGGGCACAAACTGGTTCGTCCCCATTCATCAAGGCAACAGCACAAGTGTTGCTGATCCCCTCCCCTGCCTCCTCTGGGCTCAACCAGCCACTCACCAGGCCAGCTTGCTATCTTCCTGCACCTCCTCAACTGATCTTCCAGTCCTGGCAAGAGCATAGGCTTCTCTGCCCCGCCCCCTTGGCTGATCTGCCACTCAAGACAAAAGGGGCGGGGCCGAGAAGGCTGTGCTCTTGCTCACGACTGGGAGATTAGCCGAGGAGGTGGGGAAAAAAAACAAGCAAGCTGGACCTGGTGAGTGGCTGATTGGCTGAGGAGGCAGGAAAAAACTGGGCCGAATTGGGACAAACTGGAACTAGTTCATGCCAGTACATTTCCCCATTTTTTAATGTTCTAATAGTTTCTCTCTGTGTGTGCATGTGTGTGCATAAGCAATGAATTGTTTCTTTGGGTTTCAGCTGAATTAAGTGTTAACACTCAACAGGAATTTCTTTTCCATGTCAGAGAGACTCCAGCCATTTTTTTAATGTTCTAATAGTTTCTGTCTGTGTACAGAAGCAATGAATTGTTTCCTTGGGTTTGAGCTGAATTGTTAACACTCAACAGAAATTTCTTTTCCATGTCAGAGAGACTCCAGGTCAGCAGCTTTTAGTTAGTTCACAAAAAGGAAATTTATTTATTTACAGTATTTATAAGCTCCAGAAGTGAAGCTCCAGAGTGAAGTTAATGTTCTAATAGTTTCTGTCTGTGTACAGAAGCAATGAATTGTTTCCTTGGGTTTGAGCTGAATTGTTAACACTCAACAGAAATTTCTTTTCCATGTCAGAGAGACTCCAGGTCAGCAGCTTTTAGTTAGTTCACAAAAAGGAAATTTATTTATTTACAGTATTTATAAGCTCCAGAAGTGAAGCTCCAGAGTGAAGTGATAGCTCAGGTTTTCATCCAGGGATTTCAAGAACATGTAGGCTTTTATTCTTTTCTACAAATGGATGAGGGATCCATTATCCTTCTGGTTGAGAGACGGATCCTGCAGTTGCTTACACCATGGGAAGCCTGCTGGGCCAAAGGACAGGGTGAATGTGTTTCCCTTCTTTGCATCTTGGCAAAAAGGCACTCACCTGATATTGAAGTGGCAGATTTAGGAAAATTTTGGTAGGAATTTTTCTAAGTCTTAAGTGATTTTCTTATAAAACCTAATCTCTTTATAAAAAAGAAAGGGAAAGCAACCAAAATGAATGAAAACATGAGCTGCTTGACAAAGCAATTTTTTTCCAGCACTGTGATGAATAACAAGGGGTGACTTTTCAAACACTTCCTGTGTAATGGGAAGAATCCAATTTCAAAAGGTAACTTCCCAATCTTGATCTAAGGCTATTGCTATTGGGGGGGGGGGAACAAAATGCATTTTGTGTTTTTCCCTTCTCGCATCTCCATTGGCTTTCCAGTAAACTGGGGCTAGTTATTTCAAACACCAGCTCAGCCTATTCTGGATCCTCTAGAAACACCTTATATACACAGCCGACACTTGGTACCGATCATGGCAAACTCAGCATAAAAAATGTACAGTATCTTCTGCAGGAGGTGTACTTGGTGACAACTTACAGAATTTGCTAAATCTGGCTACACAATAATGATTCCACTTGCCACCTCGGGGGTTCATGTATAGGTAGACTTCAGCCCTACTTAAGGTAAAGGTTCCCCTTGACATTTAGTCCAGTCGTGTCTGACTCTAGGAGATGGTGCTCCTTCCCGTTTCTGAGCTGTAGAGCAAGCGTTTGTCCATAGACAGTTTTCGTGGTCACATGGCCAGTGCGACTAGACATGGAATGCCATTACTTTCCCACTGTGGTGGTACCTATTTATCTACTTGCATTTACATGCTTTCGAACTGCTAGGTTGCCAGGAGCTGGCACAAGTGATGGGAGCTCCCTCCGTCGCGTGGATTTGATCTTATGACTGCTGGTCTTCTGACCTTGCAGCCCAGAGGCTTCTGTGGTTTAACCCACAGTGCCACATCAACCCTCCTTAGGCACAGTTTAATCTATTCTAATCTGCAAGGAAGAGGGGTATGCAAGGCTTGGCCACCCTACCCACTCCTCTAATCTGCAAGGAAGAGGGGTATGTATGCAAGGCTTGGCCACCCTACCCACTCTTGCTCTCCACATGAAGGAACAACAGATTGGGGAGAAGAACCTCGCTGATCTTCAGAGATTCTAGGGTTCCTTGATTTTGTGGGGAGCCTTCACATCCAGACGAAGCTCTTGGGATTAGCCCTCTCCACAGGAGGAGGGTGATGATGAAGGGTGGTGGTACAGCTAGCATTCTGCCTCCTTAGGTTTTGGGGAATCAATTTGGTTTCCCACTAGGATCCTGGAAGGGCACCAGGACCAAAATACTGGCCCAGAAGTACAGAACAAGATGCTCTTAGTGATGTGCTCAGCCTGATGACCTGCCCATAGATGCCCCTGTCCCTTGTCACCATAGATTTCTTGAGGACAGCAGCCTAAATTAAGAAGACAAGGAAACTGGTGTTTTTTGGGTCACATCTTCAGCCAGTAGGAGTCCAAAATTCTGTCTGATCCACTGCAAGCCACTCAGAGATCTTTCAGTAGATTCAAAACTTAACTTCTGCCCACCCTTCCCGGAGAAGATTTAATTCTTACGGGTGGGAAAAAGAAAGCAAACCACCCATTTCTGAGATCCTTATCGGTCACCTTCTTGCTCTAGTCTGCAAGAGCAAATAACTAAGTCTCAGCAATACAGAACTATATCTAAAATTAGATCAGGCTATATGATCATGCGAGGATCTGCGGGAGGAGGTTCAAATCATTCCAGCATGTGCAACATTGGCCGTAGTGATCTCTCCGGGATATTTAGAAGCTTACACTAATGACTAAAACAGATGCAATTTGAAATATCTACCCATTTACTCAAAATGATCCGCATAAACCATGAGTAGGTAGGTCTACCTGCCACATATTTCTGCACGGATACGGTATCTCTTCCCCCTCACCAAGTAGACATGATTTTTTAAAAAAATTACACTACCTTTAGATACCATACAGAGCCATCAGTTCAGTTTTGAGAAGTCTTTGATATCTTATTTTTGTCCCAAGGTACCTTGGAGAAAAGAGCCAAAAAGAGGAGGCTTTGCCCCCACCAATCATATAAACAGATGTGACTTCTTGAGTTTGTAGTGGGGGGGGTGTTTACATGGGAAAATGCACCAGACTGTTTACTTTTTTTTTTGGTGCTTGTGATCCCACCTGTGGTCAGCTCAGAACAGTTACCTTTTGGCCTACATCTCACAGACCACCCACTGTCAGCATGACCAAGCTGGGGTAGGTGGATTGAGCCATAACCCAAAAAAGTAACTTTTTTTCCAAGTTCTAATTTTGCTTTGTAAGGGAATCCAGTATGTAGCAGGGGGAGATCTTGGCTGTCAATACACTCCCACTGCCATTGCAGGAACACAAATGGATTTCTGAAGATCAAGGAATGAAAAATGGCATGAAGAAAGAACAGTGGAGAGAACGTTGCAGGAACGCAAATGGATCTCTGAAGATCAAGGAATGAAAAATCATACTCATGGCATGAAGAAAGAACAGTGGAGAGAACTGTTAAGCTTTAATTGTTTCCAGGTACACATCGCCACCCTCCGTCCCAAGGCTGATCATTCATAAAACAGAACTCCCTGAAAGAGGACAATCTTAAGATGAAACAGTGCAAAAGCAAATCAATTCCTTTAACCAACCAAACAATCCATGTAGCATAGGTATAATGCAGTCTTCCACTCATCCCCCCCAACCCAAACTCAGGCACTCCTGCCAGCCAGAATACGGGCACATGTATTTGAAGGCCAACAAAAATACATTCCACAATTATTGGTCAACAGTCATTCTTCCTTATTTGCTTGGGACATGTGAAAATTATCCCCAGCTTATGAAACTTTTCCAAATTCGATTAAGTTGAGGTTTTTCTTTTTCTTCCTTCCTTTTTAAGGCTACCCATGAACCTCAAACTTACCAAGGAAGTTATGAAGGAAAACAAGGCAAAAACACATTTTAATGGGCTGATAATTATTTTGGACTAGCCTGCAAAGTTGACCAGACCTGCCATGATTTTTCCCCCTCAACGAGGTTAAACTCAAAACATACTCATCAGCGTTCTCTGACGCATTTCAATCAACAGAAAAGGCGGTGGTGTTGAGAGGTACCACGAAGGAGCTAAGTGCTGTATGGATTGCATTCACACTAATCATGCAAATCTCCAGATGCTGCTTCTATTTTGGAAAAAAAAAAACCTCAGTTGAGCTACTGAAGATTCCACTCAAGATTGTCCATTTAAACGTCGGTCTTCCAGTGGAAATCAACCCGGAGTGCTCACTGGAAGGTCAGTTGAGCTATTGAAGATTCCACTCAGGATTGTCCATTTAGACCTTGATCTTCCAGTGGAAATCAATCCGGAGTGCTCACTGGAAGGACATATCCTGAAGCTGAGGCTCCAATCCTTTGGCCATCTCATGAGAACAGAAGACTCCCTGGAAAAGACCCTGATGTTGGGAAAGTGTGAAGGCAAGAGAAGGGCACGACAGAGGATGAGATGGTTGGACAGTGTCATCAAAGCAACCAACATGAATTTGAACAAACTCCAGGAGGCAGTGGAAGACAGGAGGGCCTGGCGTGCTCTGGTCCACTGGGTCACTAAGAGTCGGGCACTACAAAACAACTAAACAATAACAACGGTGACATGTCCTCTGTTTTCCCACAATAAGTAACTCACAATTTTCTATAAAGTATCAATGCTGTCAAGTTATTGTCAGTACAAACAAGCATTGAAGGATGTCATTTAGAATAAACAATAAAGAAACAGAACCTAGAATAAGGGTCAGAACCTAGCTTATCTGCAGGCGTTCTTTTTTAAAAAAATGTATTTTTTCCCCCTCACTGGAAGGTTTATCAAAAGGTTTTGAGCTTTGATGGACTACAGTGCAGATCACTAAATAAGGAAATGTATTCTTCATAAAATAAGTGCAGTCTGCACGAACACATGCTAATTAATCTTTGAGATGCTTTCCTAAGGAGCAGATTCTTGTTTTAGGAGAGGTGATTTGGAAAAGTTACTTTTGAGGACTGCAAGTCCCAAAATCCCCTTGGTAACAGCCAGTGTCCAGGAGATTCTTTAGAGCTGTGGCCCAAAAAAGTGGGTGGGTTTCCAACTTCTGCTGAGGAGCCAGTATGTGAGCCAGTATCATTACTATAAACCCAATGGGAGGGCTTAATAAACTCTTAAGGCAGAGAAGGGGGAACATGTGCTTTCCTCTCATTGCTAACTTGCAGTTCCTCTCATCCTTCACCACTGGCTATGCTGGCAAGAACTGGAATCTGTAGTCCAACAACATCTGGAAAGCCACACATTCTCCATTCCCAGTCCACGTGAAACCTGATCCAAAGTTTTCCCAAGGATAACACATTAAGCATCCCACACAAGCAACCCCAAACCACCAAGAGGCCATTGTATAGAACCTGCTGAAAACTGAAACTTAAAATCACCCAAAGCATATATGTTGGAGATACGTTTGATACCAAATCTAAGCACAACAGTGAGGGCTGAAATATCAAGTGTGAGTTTTGAAGCGATTCTGCTGTGTCCAGCAAGAATCAAAGTTGGCTTAGTACTAAGGGGTGCATTTTAGGTTGGGTATCTGTTCTCTTTCTTGTTTCTTTAAAAAGAAGGAGAAAGGAAAAGAATGACTAGTTTGGTTGTTGTGGGTTTTTTGGGCAAAAGAAGAAGAAGAAAGGAAAAGAATGAATAGTTTGGTTGTTGTGAGTTTTTTGGACTCTTTGGCCGTGTTCTGAAGGTTGTTCCTTAAGTGCTGTCCTCTGAAGATGCTGGCCACAGAGACTGGCGAAACATTAGGAAGAACCACCTTCAGAATACGACCATAGAGCCCGAAAAACCCACAACAACCATTAGATCCTGGCCGTGAAAGCCTTCACGAATAAATGAATAGTTTCCTCTGAGCAGTCTTTCCCTGGCTTGGCAAGAGATCCTTGGACTTAAGTGTCTGGGCTTCCAGATAGTAAAATTGCTGCCATTTAATCTCCCTGAACAAATCTAGTCCCTCTGTAATTGCTGGAAGGAATACTTTTTGCATAGATTAAAATAAAATGCCACCAATGGAGGTGGCCCTAATTCCTCCCAGAGGTTAGGATTCAAGAGCAGGGAGCTCTCCCACAAATAGCAGATGCTCTGAGCCTGTACATACCCACATGCCACTGGTAAGGAGGATAGACTTAACACATTTTGCTAGGGAATTAGTCTCGGATTGGAGACCAGTTGATATTGTGGTTTCTCTGTGTTGTCGAGGGTGAGAACTCATACATGAACCCCCCCCCCTTTCTGATGTTTCAAATCACAGCTGAACATGCCTGCAGCTGCACCTGTATCTTTAGCATTTCTAAGACACCTCCGTCTACATCTGTGGTTCTGTTGCCCATTTGTGGGCTAAGTGGCCATGATGTTGAAGAAACTGGCCTGTATTTTCCCCCTATACGCAGAATCCCATCTGTTTGCCTGACTGCTTGTCCTAGTGTATTGCAAGAATTATTATGTGCTATAACAATGAAGCTCATCAGAACAAGTGCTATTCAAATAGATCCCATTTTCTTGGAATTTAATTTTGAGCAGAGCTGAACATTACGAAGGAAATGCAAAGCAGAGAGATTTGTATTTTCTCGTATAATGTTCATTAGGGGTGAAGATGTCTGCTGGGGAGCCCTGTTGCTAAGAGAAGCAAAGAATGTTGACTGTGGAGAAAAATGGGGGGGAGTTTAAATAGCCCATACCTGAGGATTTGCTCATGCAAATAACAGCCACATATTTGCAATTTGTCCACTGATGCAGCTCTGCGCCCAACAATCAACGTCTTAGGAGAGCTACACTAACCCACCAAGAGAAATCAGAAAACAGGAAATTGTTTCGCTCTCTCAAATTATGGAAATGTTTTAAGGATCTTAGGCAAAACACACGAGAGCAGAATCCTGTTTTATCTATGCCGGGAAAAGGAAGGCGATCTCTAATTAAAAGTTTGAGAGGTAAATCAATTAACTTGGTACAGTATACTTCACTCAAGTTGTGTAACATTTGTTACTTGGTTATCTTGGGTTTGGCCAAGGTTACGCTTTGAGGACGGTCACCTCCCATAGGAATGGCAAAACAACGCACCGCTGTGTTTCAAAGAAACAATAAAAGTTGAGGACTTTTTTTTTAAAAAAAAAAGCAATCTATAAATAGAGACATTCAAAGAACCACCTCAAGAAGTCATTCAAACATTTTGCAGGCGGCATGCAGTTCCATGCGTTCTGGTTTTTATTGTTCTGCAACGGTCACTGGGGCCAAGAGAAAAGGGGGGGAAGAGGAAGAGGCCACAAAAGTCAGTGGAGCAATCTTTAGCTTCGGTTTCCAATGGACTCCTGAGTTTGTTGGCTTCAGACAAGTGCTTGTTTAAACGGCAGTTCCTCCACATCACAGATTCGGAAGACAGTACTTCACGGTGCAAAGCCTTCTTGGAAAGGTCACTTCGGGGTAGATTCTGTGGGTCTTGACCCAGTGACTGTCTTGATGCTATTAGTGGCGAGGAAGCCTCTCGGTGCAGGATGAAACCTTTCTCACAAACCTGCACAGGATCCTGCTAAATGGGAAAGGTGCCCCTGTGCGCACAGGATGTTGCTCCATGTGGGAACACCAAGTGACTCAGGGAGGCAAAGCCAACAGATTCCATGTGCATGGTTGTGTGTTTGTGTAAGAGAGAGAGAGAGAGACAGAGAGAGAGAGACACTCTATGACTGGGGATCCCCCACCCCATTGGTCTCCTGCTGGCATGAATGCACCCACCACACCCAACATCTGGACTACTGTACAAAACAGTAGCAGCTGCACACAACATTTCTATGTGGACAAGCTTCTGGAAGTCTGTTCTCCTCTTACTCTTTTATTCAGTACCAGGAAAGCAATTCCAAGCTATGATATGTGACTAAGGTTTGGTGGGGGGGAAGGGCAGAGAGGTTTCCTCTCGTGTGAACATTGAAAAAAAAATTTAAAACATTTTTTCCTACATCCATGAAGTAGAATCAAACAACTGGTTAGTGTTTATGTACAAAAATTCTTTACAGCATTCTATTTTGTAGCTTTAAAAAATATAAATATCGATAGTGTTCAAGACAGCAGGTATCTCATTAATATTTTAATTAAGGCTTCATTATTGTATATCCTTCATTATTAAATGACCACCGAGGTTCCGAGGGGCCCCAAGATTCCTTCAGTGGCCATAGCCTGAGTTTCTTTTAGGATCAGTTTGTCTACTCTCACGGAAACCATGGCTGACCTCTTTCTTCTGCGTCTCTTTTTAATCTCAGGAATCCTGTCTTTTCTCACGCGATCCAGGCAGGCGCCAGGGGGAAGGAAGAAAACCTTTTTTTTCCCTGCTGTTCGCTTTCCATAGGTTAATTTTAAAAAGAAAAAAAAGTTAAACCGCCCATTGGTTAAAAAAGTTAAAAGTGGTCTCTAATTAAATAAATTCAAGGGGGAAAAAAAGGTTTTGACACAACCCCATCTTGGAAGGGTCAGAGCGAAGACGTTGCAGATGTTGGGGGCCTGTGGCTACTGCTGGTCCCGGTGGAGGCCGGAGGCTCGGCCGCCTTCTTGCTCGGGAGGGTGAAGTCTGTAGGAAGGCTCTCCAGAAGGCACTTGAGCTGCTCCTGCCCGAGTTTGATCTTGTCGTCCAGCTCACGCTGTTCTATAAGCAGGGCAGATTTCATCTTCACAAAATGCTGGTAGTCCTGAAGCTGCTCTTCTGAGAGGTAATTGCACAAAATATCCAAGACCACACGCTCTCGGCGGTCCAGGTTCTCCTTCAGTTCGCAGGCATCGTCATGCTGGCCTGCCAGCATCTTCCGCTTCTCGTTCAGAGAGTTCTGTCCCATGTCGTGCCAGAGATGCAGAGATAGGAAGGAAGGAAGGAAAATGAGAGGTTCAACATTACACCTCTACAGTCAGCATTCCCTGATTTGCTCCATCCCTACTTTCATCAGACTTTGAGACAAATTTACCCCCCCCCCCCAATTTTGAGATGATCATGTGAATTAAACTGGCACAATAAATTAGGGATCTGGCTGCAGAGCCAGAGATGGGGAGTTCAATTCTCCACTATGGCTCCTGAGAGAAAAGGCAACCTGTGTAACCTTGGGCAACCTGTGAAGTCTCAGAGAGTCCGGAATGGCAAACCACTTCTGGAACACACTGGAAATGGTTGCCAGAAGTTTGAAATGACTTGAAGGCACGTAAGTATTAATCAATATACAGTGATGCCTTGCTTAACAATTGCCCCTATTAATCAATATACAGTGGTTCCTCGCTTAATGATTGTTCCACATTACAACGAATCCGCTTTACAACAATCTTTTTGCGATCGCAATTGCGATTGCAAAATGATGGTCTAAATTAAATGGGGGAATTTCACTTAGCGACGGTTGGTTCCCTGCTTCGGGAACCGATTTTAAATGGGGGAATTTCTCTTAGCGACGATTGATTCCCTGCTTTGGGAACCGATTTTTGCTTTACAAAAATCAAAAACAGCTGTCGGGTTTTCAAAATGGCCACGGGGGGCTTAAAATGGCTCCCCGCTGTGCTTAGGGATGGATTCCTCACTATACAGGCAGTGAAAATGGCCGCAATATGGAGGATCTTCGCTGGACGGTGAGTTTTTACCCCACTGGAACGCATTGAACGGGTTTCAGTGCGTTTCAATGGGGTTTTTAATTTCGCTTTACGATGTTTTCGCTTAACGGCGATTTTCCTGGAACAGATTATCGTCATTAAGCGAGGCACCACTGTATGCCTCAACATGACAACATGCTGCGTTGCAACACAATCACTCCATGATTGCACTTCATGTCCAGCATGAAGTCTAAGGTGCAAGGGTTTCTCCATTCAATTCAATAGAAGGAGGCAAGTGCAGAGCTGAAAGCACCCATAAGCTCACTTGCATAGGATGTTGTTTATATGAAAGAGAGCATAGCGAAGCATGGACTAAGTGCTTCTGTTTCATTTCAAGGCAGTCTTCTTAGTTCACTTCTTTCCCACTTTATCCTCACAGTAACTCTGTAAGGCAATGGTTCCCAAACTTGGGTTAACTCAAGTGTTCTTAAGACTGCAATTCCCATCAACATGGGCCAGGACAGCTAGTGGGGAAGGTTTTTGGGAGCTGTAGTTCAAAAAATACCCAGGTTATCTAAGATGGGAACTACTACTATAAAGTATATTAGTTTGGGAGAGAATTGCAAGTCTAATGTCATCCAGCAATTTTCATGGTTCAGTGGGGATTAGAACCTGAATTTCCCACCACTCTGTCTTTCCTACGCCGTACTGCCTACCCCTAGGGAACATTTCCTTTCCACCCACAAGAATCTGAATGAGTATTCTTGTTTAATTCCTCAATTTGTCCACCATCACCTCCATTTTCACACCTGCACATTCAAAAGAATTTAGTCCAGCAGGGCATAATTTCAGTTTTGCATTTTCCATACTGTTTATTTTCAGTGGCTTCTTTTCAGCAGTAACAGATTTAAGTTCTATATTGGCTTATTCTAACAAACTACACAGGGAACCAAGTAAGGATACAGTGATACCTACATCTCTCAAACAGCAGCAGTAGATTAAATACCAGATTTAACCAGAAGCTGATGAATTTTGTTTTCCACTGCCTTGTTAGAAAAAAGTGAAGAACTCAGTAACGAATACTTCCCAAATTTTCTGCCCGTGATAAAAAAAATGTGCACGCACTGAGAAATTTGTCTCTCCTACATGAAAGTAAGGGCATTACTTCCCTCCCCCAGCCAAATCATTCCCAAAAACTATGCTTTCTGCATGAAATATTTGTATTTTCTGTTTTCAAACCACCGTTTATATTTTATCTAAAATGCAAGGTGTTCTAGAAGAAATACAAACTTTTCCATCCAAAATGCAAGCATTTTCAAGGGTGGTTTGTTTTTTTTTTTTTTTTTTTTTTTATCAAGGTTTTTTTTGTGCAAAATATGTACTAAAATCTGAAATGTACACAGAAACTTGGGATCTTGTCCAGTGGAAGAAAAAGACTGGAAATGCTTTGGTCTAGTTTGGAAGCACCAGATCAAGTGAACATTTACCCCCATTCTGTTTGCACCACTGGTGTAGTGAGAGAGGGGAAAAAAACACTCCATGAATTGGACGTGTAGGTGTTTTATCGCTAAAGTTGTTGATGGTGTTAAATCTAAGATTTCCCATCTACTCCATCTACATACCCGTTCTTGATTATCAGCATCTTCACTGAGGCTGCTGAGCACATTCTCCACCCGGGCCAAGCGTCCTGAGAGTGAAAGCAAGAGGCTGACCAACTTATCCAAGTCTCCGATGAACATTCTATATTTTTCAAACTCGTTTGGTTTGCACAAGCCACTGATCAAAGCTTCTACTTCTTCTCCCAAGGCGTTGTTGAGTTTGATATCTGCCATCAGGCTTTCCTTGGCTTCTTTCAGAGTTTCCATCTTGGTGGTCAAGCTCTTGATAAGTTCAGCCTGGTGGGACAGAACCAGGCAGAGATCCATCAGCCTCCCTGCTACAATGCCCACGTTTATTAACATTTCATCAAAAATTCCTTATGAATCCCTTAAGGAAATAAATACAGTGGTGCCTCTCTAGACAGTTACCCTGCATGACAGTTTTTTCACAAGACATTGACTTTTTGCGATCGCTATAGTGATTCGCAAAACAGTGATTCCTATGGGGGAATTTCGCTGGACAATGTTTGGTCCCTGCTTCGCAAACCGATTTTCACTAGACAACGATTTTGACAGCTCCCTCCGCGCGCGCAAAACAGGTGTTTTTGGGACCTAAGCTTCGCAAGACAGCGATTTAAACAACTGATCGGTGGTTCGCAAAGCGACTTTCCTATGGCCAATCTTCGCTAGACAACGACGATTCATCCCCACTGGAATGCATTAAACAGGTTTCAATGCATTCCAATGGGGAAATGCTTTTCGCTAGACAATGATTTCGCTAAACAGCGATTTCAGTGGAACGGATTATCATTGTCTAGCGAGGTACCACTGTACTGAGTATGCAAAGAAAAACAGGAAAGTGTTTGGTTCCGTTGGTGGTTATACTGCTGCAATTAATTCGGAGTTGTTTGAGCTCTAACTAAGGGATCGTTTTGTGCAATTCTGTCTCACAGTTACAAGCCTTTACTAAGGTAGACACAATATTTTGGAGGTGAGTAATTGGGCATGCAGGTGAAACGGGTTGACGCCATCAAGGAAGCCACAGGCTCTAGTTTACAAGAGCTGAGCAGGGCAGTTGAGGACAGGGCATTTTGGAGAACATTCATCCATAGGGTCGCCATAAGTTGGAGGCAACTTGACAGCAAAGCAAAACAACATCTCATGAGAAGCAAATGAAAAAAGATGTGGGACTGAGAAGCAGCAAAATGTTCTCCTTGCTTTTGACACACAGCTATAATCATCATCATCATTAAGGCGCCTTGCGGCACAGTGGCTAACTTTCTCCTCCATAAATCAAGAGAAAGGAAGAAGCAAAAACCTGCAACTGGAATGTAAGAGAGTGATTTTAAATATATACGACGGCAATTGCAATGGGACAGTTTTCTTTCAAAGCAACTCAGATTTTTTTTTTGGCCCACACCGAAAGACGAGAAGATCATAATAAATCACTGGAGCTGTATAACAACTTTTGTTTGAAAACCAGAAGAATGTATTTGTCCATCTCTCTTAAACAGAAATTGAACATCTTTCTGCTGAAATGATTTTTTAAAAAAGGGTAGACCAACTTTGGAAATCTGTCATGTATGAAAAGCTCGTCCTGCCACATTTTAGTCAGTGGAAATAATCTATCTACATACTCCATCCAGTATTGGAGGCACTATGTGTGCATAAATCACTGGGCAGCGGGAAGGTGCGACTGCATTCACAACCTGTTTATCTGCCTTCCACCAGCCACTGGTTGGTCAGTTGAAGAAAAAACTAGAACAGAATTTTGGTTTGATTCAGAAGAACCCTTCTCGTGTTCTTAACAGCCTTCTGCTTAACCACAGAAGCTAATTCACTCATGCATTAATTCAACCATTTAAAGAGTGAGGTTACTCATTACTCACAAATAGCATTTAAAAAGGCATTCCTAATACATCAGTACTTGTGATAAGATGTACCAGTTTCTGTCTCCTTCCCATGTTGTACAGGGCAGCTTCAGAAACCTCAGACTCACACACAACATACTATGCTTTGGACGGGCCAAGGCTGGCTTTCTACTTGCACATGTGAAAACCTCACCTTCTTCTCATTGAGGTCCACCTGTTTGGCATCTCCACCTGCATCCTCGGGCATATCCTTGAGTTTGCTCAGGAGTTCGGCTTTGGGTCCAGACACACTGTAGTACGCTGGACATGATGAGACCAACGGTGTGATGGTTTCTTTCTCATCTTTCCTAAAGGACGACACAAAATACATGCATATAAGAAACTCTGGGAACACAGGCTTGACATTATTGCACTTACAGTGGTGCCTCGCTTAACGAGGATAATCCGTTCCAGCGAAATCACTGTAGAACGAAATCCTTGTTAAGCGAAATAAAAAAGCCCATTGAAACGCATTGAAAACTGTTCAATGCATTCCAATGGGCTGAAAACTCACCGTCTAGCAAAGATCCTCCATAGGGGCAGCCATTTTCGCTGCCTGTAAAGCGAGGAATCTGTCCTAGAAAACAGCGGGGGGCCATTTTATACACCTGGCGGCCATTTTGTAACCCGACCATCAGCTGTTTTTAGATCGTCGTAATGCGAAAATCAGTTCCCGAGGCAGGGAACCGATCATTATGAAGTGGATTTTTCTCATTTAAACCATTGTTTTGTGATCGCTTTTGCGATCGCAAAAACCTAATCGTCAAGCGATTTCCTCGTTAAGCGATTTCCTCATTAAGCGAGGCACCACTGTATTAAGAAACACTCAAAAATGACTGTGGGTAGAAAAGAAAGGGCCACTTTCCCCTTACACCTCCTCTTGTGAGTCACATGTAAGTCCATCTATAGCCTGCATCTTCCACATGGACCACATGTAATAATAATAATAATAATATAATTTATTGTCATTGTAAGTATATACACAGTATACCATACAATGAAATTCACAACAAAACCCACTTTTCCTTTTATCTTCTTGTCTTGCAAGTTATCAGAACATACTGATATGCACAGGGGAAGTGTCCTCACCATGTCGACAATGAGGAGGAGTGAGGCTAGCAAAAAAGGTGATCAGGGTGCCCAGCTCTTGTGTCTCTCCCTCCCTGAGAAGGCACTAGGTTGAGAAGATCAGGTAAGAGTTGCAGAGAAGGATCCAGATGTACCCACCTCACTTTGGGAGGTGCATTTTTATCAGAACATACTGATATGCACAGGGGAAGTGTCCTCACCATGTCGACAATGAGGAGGAGTGAGGCTAGCAAAAAAGGTGATCAGGGTGCCCAGCTCTTGTGTCTCTCCCTCCCTGAGAAGGCACTAGGTTGAGAAGATCAGGTAAGAGTTGCAGAGAAGGATCCAGATGTACCCACCTCACTTTGGGAGGTGCATTTTCCCCCCTCTTTGTGATGCGTGGTACTACAACGCTGGAGGAGAGATAAGAGGTGCAGGGACTGGCTGTAGCCTCTTGGCATAGGGGCTGAACTATTGCAGCCAGAACTTTGCTCACAACCGAGGTTCAATCCCAGGTAGCTTGAGGTTCACTCAGCCTTCCATTCTTCCGAGTACCCAATTTGCTTGCTGGTGGGGATGGGTGGCTGGCAATGTGCAGCCTGCATACTTAAACCTGTAAACCACCCAGAGAGTGCTTTAAGTGCTGTGGGATGGTACATAAGCAGCATGGTTTGCTTTTGTTTTGGGGGTAGGTGGGCAGCTTTGGAGTGAGGGGGTCCAGAAGTCCTCCCAGTCCCCCCAACCCTGCAATGAACCCCTCTGGGTTTGGAAAAACCTTCAGATGACTGTTTTATTGTGATTGAGATCTTTGGGGCAGACAGAAAGGGAAGAGGACGCTTGCAAAAATTGCTTGACATGAGAAAACTCATTCTCTGACTGCATCTCATCTACCCCGTTCCTTTGGCATCTCTCTCTCTTTTGCAGTTCAGGATGTTTTATAGTACAAGTGTGCACACCAACTTTTCGGCACAGACACCAGAATAAGAAAAAGAGAGAGAGAAAGCTTTGGGCTGGAAAGAGAAGCACAACAAACACATAAACCAAGAGATTAAGGAGGAGCCAAACAGTGATACATCTCCAAAAACCCAGCTGTGCGTGTACATCCGGGTATAAGGAGAATGTCAGGTAGATGGCGGAACTTAAAGTGGTACCAATGTCCTTCACCAACAGCGCCTGTTAATATTTCTCTCTTAAGGTCTTTGTAGTAACCTTAATTCAAGCTTCCCACTAGATGGCATAAGTCAACTGTTTTTAAAAAACCAGCTGGACTTTAGCAACATTCTCATGCACAGTATATTTTTGCCACCCTCAAAGAATCGCTTCCTTGTTAAGGCACATCAGCCAAAAATTTCATACCACTGCAAACCAACCCCCCTAAAGTTCTGAGACTTATTTCCATAATTAAAGTGGGATGTTGGCAAACGCTGAATATTCTCTACTGAAAAAACAACCCTTACACATACCTAAAACGAAGACTCTTTTGTGCCTGGAACTATCGGGTGGGGATTAGGGAACCCTATGTTTGTTTGTTTTTTAACTTTCTTGCAGACAAAAAACTTGTGGCACCTTAAAGACTAACAATTATATTACAACGTGAACTTTCGTGGACAACTGCCACATGTTCTTGTTTGGTTTCTTTGGATTTTGCCTGAGATCCTTGCACTGACCAACATGGCTACCTCTTCTAAAACTACAACTTCCTTGCCACGTATCATTTAGAATAAGGAAGGCTCATCCAAACTCGAACGACAGCTCCTTCTGCAAGGGTGTGGAACCTCCTTGCCACATATCATTTAGAATAAGGAAGGCTCATGCAAACTTGAACGACAGCTCCTTCTGCAAGGGTGTGGACAATATTTCACTGGCCACTCAAAGAAGCCCTGTTCTGTTTGCCTTGGCCAGATAAAAAGGCGCTTTCTACAGGTAGCCAGTGTCCACAGAGTGTGCAAGGAGGGAAGTTAGCGAACGATGCACGCCAGGTAGGCAGGCCATTGTCTAGCGGGATACGCATAAGCAGAACTGAGCAGGCAAGAAGGGCGAATTGTTCAGAGTAGGTTCTGCTTCTTGCTGTAATTCTGCTTGTACAATCTGCAGAATTTCTTTTACAAGCATGGCTGCATGTTTTCAAGCAAACCCTATCGTCTTAAGAGTTACTGCATCCACACTGTCCTTTTCCTGGGTTGAAGGGTATGTCAGACTCCCTTTTAAACTCTACACAGAAGGAGCACTGGGGGAAGGGGCCAGTGAGCCCAAGGATCAGGACCACTCCACAGGGACAACTGTGGTAGTATGGAGAAGAGATCTCTTGGGTGGTATCTCAAGAGATGATTCCCCCCCCCCTTTCTCTGATCAGACAGAGCTTAGTCCACAAATGCAGAGCCAAAATATCAGCTAACGACACCCCTCAATCACAGTGAAATAATCTCTCCTCCTTATCATAACAATACACCCACAACAAAAACACACTGATCACCATAATCACCCATCTCCTGAAAAGGATAAAAGCTGATCCAACAGCTATAAATACTCAACTCCCAAACAAACTGCACCAGAGCACAGAGTGCTACTCCTGTCCTCTGAAGATGCCAGCCACAGAGACTGGCAAAACTTTAGGAAGAACTACCTTCAGAACACGGCTGAAGAGTCCGCAAAACCCACAACAACCATCAGATCCCAGCCGTGAAAGCCTTCGGGAATACATCAAAAATATCTGTCCTAACAAAATAGTGGGGGTGAAAACCTAAACGAAACAGTGCTTACTTTTTATCTTCTGGAACAGAACTACTGGCAGACTCATCCGCTCTTTTCTGCATTAGTTTTCTCCTTGAGTTCTCTTGAAGTGTCCTGGCTCCACTGGGAAATATCCCTTTCATCAAGTCCATGGTGGTTTTCATCTTGGAGTCTGGATCTAAGATGCTGGCTAATGACTTATCCTTGTGGACAATCTCCTTGGCTAAGGCTTCCTCCTTGATGTCTTCCGGACTCTTGATCTTCTCAGGCCCAAGTTCATCGCTCCTAGACTCTCTCTTTGCAACGGCAGGTGTGGCATCGACAAGCCCTCCGGGGACCAAAGGCAGCGGTTGTGTTTCGGAGGAATGCGTGTTGCCGTTTGCTTTGGATCCTGAGACCCCGACAGGTGGGGACGGAGCAGGGCAGTGGCTCTGGCTAACAGCTGTGCTTGGTCCTTTCTCTTTCTCGTTCAAGCCCCTGGGAAACCTTTTGAAGTCCCTGTTCAGGAGGAGAAAGGAAGCTATTTTAAATCTGGGATACTGAAAGTATGCCACAGGGAATCTCCCCAAGTCAAGAAAGAAATGGCTTGCACCTTTCTTTATGTAACTTACACCCGGGATCTTAGCCACATACAGGAGGACCTCAATATTTGCAGGGGATTTGCTCCGAGCCCGCCGTCGATGATTAACGCCATGGATTACAGCCAACGCCATTATACAGTGGTGCCTTGCTTAACAATGTTGTTTCAAAAAAAACAACACATCGCTATGGGAAAACATCGCTAAGCGGAGCGCAAAATCGCTCCCAAAACCTCATCGCTAAGCGAATACATTGTTAAACGAGGCAATCGCTAAGCGAGGCACCACTGTACTAGCGAATGCTGTGTACAGCAGTGGTCCCAAACCTTTTCCCAACCACACAGGTGGGGGGGCGTAGCATGTGCTCACATGGGGGTGCTCGCGGGGGAGGGGAGATCCGTGTCTGCGGCCCAGTCCTGCCTAGCCCATGGACTGGCACCGGATTGCAGACCAGGGTTGGGGGACCCCTGGTGTACAGCATGTCACATGGTCACTGGCTCCCTTGAGCGACCAGTTGTGGTAATGACATCATGGAAATATATTTCTCTGGTGGATGCTATACATCACATGTTCTTTTGCTTCCTCGAATAGCCAGTTCTGCTAAATATATATTTTGGGGATTATTCTTTTCATATTTTAAACATTTTCAAACTGTGTCTATGTGAATCAGTGGATACTGAGCCTACAGATAAAGGGCCCCCACTATATTTATCTGGAACATAATTCTTATTGACTTCTAAGGAACACAGCACAGGGTAGCCTTCCCCAACTTGGTGCCCTCCAAATGTGTTGAACTTAAACACCTAAAGCCCTAGTCAACTTGATCGGTGGTACCACAGTAACAGAAAGGATATCTGCCAGGTGGTTGCCTAAATTCCTCTTGAATGCCTCCAGCGCTGGAGCACCCACCACCTCTTGAGGTAATTGGTTCCACTGCTGTATTGCTCTAACAGGAAATTTCCCCTGATCTTCAGCTGAAATCTGGCTTCCTGTAACTTGAGCCCATTATTACATGTCCTGCACTCTGGGATGTTCAAGAACAGATCCTGCCCCTCCTCTGTATGACAGCCTTTCAAGTCTTTGAAAAGTGCTGTCGTATCTTCCCTCAGTCTCCTTTTCTTAAGGCTAAAGCATGCCTATTTCTATTTGGAGCAAGTAGCTTAATGGAGGTGGGGATGGGGAGAGGAACACAGGGAAAACTGAAAGTCCTTGTTGAAATCCAAAAAAGATTGAGAGCAAAACTCAATGAAATGAAATGAAATGCATGGATAGGAAGAGAATACAGGCAGGGTCAACCTATGGCCCTCCACCTGTTGACCATTGGTTATGCTGGCTGGGGTTGATGGAAGGTGCAGCCCCACAACATCTGGAAGGCAACAGTTCCCCACCCTTGCTTTTGCACATTCATACCTTGCTGCAGATCCCTCATCTACAAGGTTTGTGGCTTTATGGGCTGTTGGCTCATTCGTGGCAGGAGGTGGCGGAAATGCTTCCAAGGTGTTTGTAATGACACTGGGGCTCCCTGAGGGGGGTGGCGGTGGCAGCGGAGGCTCAGCCGCGGGCCCTGTGGCATGCACTGGGGCCTCTTTGAAGAAAACCTCGTCGTCACCCTCTTCTCGGTGAAATGGTGGAGGAGACATTTCCAGACAGGATTCTGAGATGTGGAGGGAAAGTCTCCCTTGGCTAGAAGGAGTTTCCGGTTCAGAACAGGAGCTGCTTTGGGATGGAAGGCTTTGCCACCTTTCGAAACCCTTTTGCCCAGATGTCTGCAGAGGTGTGGAGCTCTTTGGGAGGCCCTCGTTTTTGACCCATTTAATTTTAGGCGCAAGGTGCCTCTGAGGCAACGGGGTCTTATGTCTCCAAGGAGCTTCTTCTGTTGGCTCCTTGGGTAGGCAGTCTGCATTCTCCGGAACTTGGGCCTGAGTTCTACTGTTGACATCTTGGTCAGACCTAGATGGACATCTCGTTACAACACTTTCTCCAGCAATCTGAAAATCTGAGGGAGGGAGTGTGGAGTTAGCAGTGTTGGGAGAAGACCAGCCTGTCCTGGTAGAAGTTATGAGTCTGGTGCTTGGTCTAGAGTCAGGATGATGACCCTTCATCCCTGCAGAAATCGAGACGAACGCTGACGGCCTGCTGACGTGCCTGAAGAAATCCGGAGCTTTCTGATTTTCACTCAGTACAAACGAGCCAGTGACCCCTTCACTGCTATGACGGGGATGAGGCTGGTACTGTGTGAAGGCCGATTTCTCTTTCCGACTCCTTTCTTTATTGCCTAATGATCTGAGAGAGCAAGGGTAGAAACAAGAAGAATTTGGATGAAAAATACAATGGTCTTGACAGTTTGTATAAAAACATAAAGCCTAGAGCTTTTCAGGGCATGACTTCTGAGATCCAGCCATAAAATTTACATTTGCATAAACAAGAAAAAAAAGCACTGGTATTTTTTTTCTCTCTCTCTCTCTGACTCTATTCCAAGTGCAATGCAACTCAACAAGCTGTGTTCTTGTTGAGCATGTAACTTTGATTTCATTTTGAATGCTTCTGATGTGCCATCGAACTCAATTCCAACTTATGGAAACTCTAGTAAGGTTTCTGAGGTATCAGAGATATTTAAGGTGTGGTTTTACCACTCCCACTCCCTAGTGAATTTCCACAACTCAGTGTGGATTTCAAACTTGGTCTCCTGAGTCCCAGTTCAACACTACCCACTATACTACACTGGCTCTCTTGAATGTTTTTAAACCAAGAATTACAGTAGCAGAAAGGACGGACTTAAAATATGCTATGTTGGGTGAGCAGACCAGGCTCCTTGTGAAGGCAAAATATGTGGTTCTCAGTTCTCTGGTGTTCTAGTGATGATGACTTTATCACAGGATTCCTGAATATCCCCCAGACATTCTATGAACAGTACAATTGACTTCCACTTTCCTACTGATAGCAAAAAAATATCTCTAGCTTGATACCTTCAGAATTCTTGCAGAGCTGTGACTTGAGGTTTCTTTTGAGAAGGGCTACGCTGACATTTTAATATCCCTTGTTCATCTAGACTGCTGGTTGAACATATACATATACTAAATTTTGTTTACATACAAGAAAAACAAGAACATAAACAAAACAAAACAAAAGTGCACCCCTCAACCTGGGGACCATCCATTAATACAACACACACACACACACACACACACACACACACACACACACACACACACACACATATATATATAACATCAATGTCCGTCCGTCCATCCATCCATCTATCATTTTTAAATGACCCCTCACCCCTTCCAGAAATACATATATTCTTCCCCTGACTTTTGCCCTTTTTCTTTTTTCAATACGCCACTCATAAAGCCATCCCATATCTCATTAAATATATTGATCTTTATCACTCTTTTTTAAAACTTAATTTTACTGATGTCAATTTATTGTTAACTGCAATATTCCAGATTTCATTGTACCATTCATACAGTTGAAAAATCAAATTCTTCCTCCATTTTTTTTTGCTGTAAGTAATTGTTACCATGTTTATAATCATTTCTTTTTAAAGTTATTTACATCTTGATTATCTGTTAATAATAATGCTATTCTTGATGATGCTTCAATGTTGGCTTCCAACATTTCTCTAATTTCCTTAAAAAACTCCCTCCAAATCCTTTGTATACTTCACATTCCCACCATAAATGTAGATATGTACCCAATTCCTTATTACATCTCCAGCACATCTTGGAATATTTATAATCTATTTTATTTAGTTTTATCAGTGTTAAGTACCATTCTCCACATTGTTTTATAACCATTTTCTTTTTTTCTGACATATTTTTAAAAACCCTCTATTCCATCTATTTCTCCACTCCCCTTCATCCATTTTTCCTAACTCTGCCTCCTGTATTATTTTTGCCAATATTCTATAACTATTAAAGGTAAAGGTAAAGGTTCCCCTTGACAATTTTTGTCCAGTCGTGTTCGACCCTAGGGGGCGGTGCTCATCCCCATTGCTAAGCCATAGAGCCAGCGTTTGTCCGAAGACAATCTTCCGTGGTCACATGGCCAGTGCGACTTAAGACACGGAACACTGTTACCTTCCCACCGAAGTGGTCCCTATTTATCTACTTGCATTTGCATGCTTTCAAACCGCTAGGTTGGCGGGAGCTGGGACAAGCGACGGGCGCTCACTCCATCGCGTGGATTCGATCTTATGACTGCTGGTCTTCTGACCCTGCAGCACAGGCTTCTGTAGCGCCACCACGTCCCTACAACTATTGTTCTGTCAATATTCCACAACTATTACCCCTTTCTCTTTTCCTGTTCATCTCATTCTCCATTTTCTTCATGGTATATTCAAACTACTTTTTCTTCTCTCATACAGTTGGTTACACTCTGGAAAAAAAGTACCTAAAATAATTTCTAAATGCCCAAACCTTGCCTAAGAGGCATGTGCTTTATGTTGCACATACATTGCTGATACAGCAGTAGCATTCTGAAGGCTTTAAGAAGGGTAATAAGCACTTAGGAATGTTAACCTTGGCAGCGACATGTATTACTAATAACCTATTTCCTGCTTCTGTTAGGTCATTTCTGCACGAGTGTCAGTTTAGTTATCTACTGATTTAAGAGGCAGGGTGGAAAAACCAACACACAAGCCTTAAGTCCTTATTAACAGAGGAGGAAGGAGAAGACAAGTAGAGTGCTTCTATCCAATATCACTAAAACTACAAGATTCTCAGGGGAGGGATAAGCCTCCACCTCCACCCTCTTCTCTTATTAGAAACTAGCCACTGAATCCAGGGATAGCTAAGCAGCTGCAATTCCCAGCTGTCCTCTGCAGTTCTTTATCATTGAAGCCATAAGTAATAACAAGCTATTTGTGGTTCATCAAGATGAAAAGCAGCCAACATTCCTGGTAACTCCCACCTAACTGAGCACATATCGCAAGCTTGCACACTTGTATCTCCTTCAGGGTGACCCCCACGCTGTTGTGGATATTTCCGTCAACATAATTTAGGTGGATTGTGTTGCCCTGTGCCATGCTAACAATGTCCATTCCAGTAGTGTGAATGGCATATAATAGCGTACAGTGGTGCCTCGCTTGACGAGGATAATCCGTTCCCGCGAAATCACTGTAGAGCGAAATCCTCGTCAAGCGAAATAAAAAAGCCCACTGAAATGCATTGAAAACTGCTCGATGCGTTCCAATGGGTTAAATACCTCAGTGTCCAGCGAAGATCCTCCATAGGGCGGCCATTTTTCGATGCCTGTGCAGCGAAAAATCCGTCCTAAAGCACAGCGGGGAGCCATTTTACACAGCGGGCGGCCATTTTGAAACCTGACAATCAGCTGTTTAGATTGTCGTAATGCGAAGAATCGGTTCCCGAAGCAGGGAACCGATCATCGGGAAGCGAATTTTGCCCATTAAAACATTGTTTTGCGATCGCAAAAACCTCAGTGTCAAGTGGATTTGTCGTTTAACGAGGTAATCGTTAAGCAAGGCACCACTGTATTTCTGTTTCAGGCAGGTGAGAATAAAGGCACACACTTTGCTGGAGTTTTTGCAACCTCGCATGCTGCTTTTAGTAGGTTTGACTGGGTAGGACCTTTTCGGGTTGGGCCTTTCTGTCAATCTATCCAGCACTAATCAACGGTTCCCTCTTGCCTCTGAATTCAAGGAGAGCCCTGTCTCTCTGCTCGGGGTTTCCCTCCCCTCTTAAGAGTCTGTTGAGGCCTGTTGCTCAAAGCTGTTATGTTGTTAGCTTGCGATTATCTATTTACGTTAAGTAAATGAAAACTAATATTCTTTCTACTACCAATGTCTCAGAGTCAGTTATTGACTGTAAGTGCCAGTTAATAAGAAAAAGAGTGAACCAATCAGACAAACTTGAAGCTATTCTGTTCTGTGAATCCTTGCATTTCTGTTGCACTGCTAGAGGAATTTAACAAAAAATTCAAAACTCTGCAACACACAACACATATACACATAGTCTCTCTCTTTATCCAGAGCGGTGCAGGAGCAGTGATGGAAGTGACCGCCTCACCCATGTTTCAAGGCAAAGCTTCATATTTGCACTAAGAACGGGAAGAGCATGGGTACAAGATTAATTTATGCTCCGAGTCTTTTGACATGCAATGCAATCTCATCTCAAAACCCCTCCATCTATATTAGGGTTGCATTTGCTACATGAAGGGGAGCCAAGAGGAGGGGATAAAACCCTGAGCTATTGCCTTACACATGTGGAGGGTTTTTTTTTGTTTTGTTTTTTGGCCCATTGGATTCTGGCTTGTGTCTCCAAGGATGTTTACAGGGAAAACACTGATTTGTTTTTAAAAGTTTGGGGTTAGTTTCTCTGCCAGTCTCTGGAGGTTTACAGCCCTAGTGATCTAACAACCCCTCTCCTCATCAGGAATACATTCTGACTTTGCACAGGAAACATGTGGCCAAAACATGAAACAGGAGAGTTAAAACATAAAATAGTTTGTGATCTTTTTAGTTCAGCCAATTTCTACTGATGCAACACAGGCAAGTTTTTTTTTTAAGTTATACAGAATATTTCACTCAGAAAAGCTGGAAAGTAATGAATCATTATACACTGAGGAAGCACTATTTTTGTAAATACAGAATATTTCACTCTAAAAAGCTGGAAAGTAATGAATCTTTATACACTGAGGAAGCACTATTTTTGTAACAAAAATTTGCAAACAGATTCCTAAACACACTGCACAGTCAAAAAAGGGATATGGATGTACCTGCTGTCAGCACCCATCACGTAGAAGGGATCTTTCACAAAACGGCTGAACTCAACACTGTCTCCCACCAGCACATCCTTAAGGTGAAAGAAAAGGGAAATTAATCAGCAGAAAACAGAAAACTTTCTTGCCAAGTGATGTGGGGGACAGTTGTGTGTTTTCGCACACGTGCAAACCGGCATCACTCGTGATTTATACGTATTGCAGGAAGAAGAGAAGTCCATGTGTATGCCTGCATATACCTCATGAAAGCGTGTTTGACCTAATTATTGCAGCAGTCTGATATTCCAGGCTCTAAAGAAATTGCAAAATGTAACTCAGGTTAAATGGCCCTACACCCCTCCGATGAGCTAATGCAGTGGTTCTTAACCTCAGGTTACTCAGGTGTTTTTGGACTACAACTCCCAGAAGCCTTCACCACCAGCTGTGCTGGCTGGGGTTTCTGGGAGTTGCAGTTCAAAAACCCCTGAGTAACCCAAGGTTAAGAACCACTGAGCTAATGCTTCAGGATTCAAGACAGCAGCAAGTTTTAACAAAGGGCCAGTTGGAAGAAGCTGCAGAGCGTCTGCCATGAGCCTGTGTCTTGTTTTCATCACCTAAGTGCATCATTACCACTAAGTTCTGTCGCTCCCCTTACTGATCCCCTTGTGCCCCAGAGTTTGCAAGGAGGGGGAATGGAAGAAAAAAATTCTGACCCTGGAAGAGATCAACACTTGTCATCGACTGAATTTGGCACAGCGCAGAATGCAGATGCGGCTTCGAGATGTAATTTGTTTATTTCACAGGTACGGGAATTCCAGGGTGTTCAGAGCAGTTCCGCCCCTCATTCACTGCTCACTCATTCACTGCAGCAAGAAGGCAAATGTCTATGTGCATTCCCCCCCAACCCACTCAAACTTGGGAAAAATTACATTTTTACTACAACTCTCAGTGTCACTCAAGAAGTGACTGCACTGGCTGGTATTCTGAGGCTTGTCCTCCATCACAAACCTATAGATATAGAAAGATATAGATAGATAGATTTGTGATGGATATATATCTCCATTATACATACATGCATCTATTCCTGCCTGTGTTTTCTGCAGACAGACACGGAGGCCTGCTAAGGCTGTAATACAGGAAGATTTCCCCAATTCATGTCTCTTCAGCATCAGGAAATCTGGACATCTTCTGATTGCTAGGCCATCACAAGAAATATGGAATGCCCTGCTGGAAGAGCTGGTCACTATAACTTTTAAACAGCAATGTGTTTATTCTTGTCCACAAATTCCAATAAGCTTCTCATATGCCTTCAAATAAATAAGTCCCACGTTATGGCGTGTTCACACCATTGAAATGTCTCCCTGGTTTCTTGCGCCTTTTACTTGCTGAACAGTAGTGCACTGCAGCCATGTCCATTCTCACTTTTTTAAAGTGCCACGTTCCAGTTGTATTGGCTCTTGCTTTTCCATTGGACCATTTCAGCAATGTGGAGAGGGGGGATCTGCTGCTTGGGTAACAGCCTATCCTCCATATTACCTTACCCGGGCTTCATGCTCTGGAGAGGACACTCCTCGATTCAGAGCATGTTACCATATTCTCACTTTTTTAAAGTGCCACGTTTTTGTTTTGTTTTTTTAAAGATGTTGTATGTGCGACTATACCTCTGTAGTGGAACATATCTCTTCCTGTTTTTGTTTTTACAATCCTCCCCCCCTTTTTTTAAAAAAAAATCCTGTTACGTCAATGTGTCGAAGCACAGTGGACAATGACAGAAAGTTACCAATGCATCGAAACTGCGCACCCTGGAAAATTTTAAAAATAATAAATGACATGGGTGACAGGAACTGACAGCTTGGCTGGAAATGTATCAGGATAGCTGTTCACACATCAACACTGTGAAAACTGATAAAACCTAGAACAAAATATATATATATATCGTATCTTCCTGGTGGGCAGAATTTGGTTTGGAGATAGCACGGAGGCCGAACGAAAGAATCGGTAAGGGCTGTGTGTCATCTGAACACACACACACACAAAAACCAACCCGAAACCCATAAGCAGCAACTGGGAAACATTTTGCAATTGTGACTGCAGCCTTACTTGGTTTGAGAATCAATAATTGCTGAAACAGGAAAGGTTCGATTAAACTGAGACTCTGATGTGTCTCTTTGCACCAAGCCCTACTGACTTTACTTGGTCTCACCGGAACAAAAGCAGTTGCAGCTACAGTCTTGCCTTGCAACCCTACCTGACCAGGAACGGTGATTTAGACCCCAAACACTGTCAAATCGTAAGTCCCACTTGTATACACCCCAGAAATGAAGGGTGCCTGGCTTTGCACTAGTGAAAAAACACTGATCCAAGCATGCATCCTCATGGATCCATGCTTTTTTAACATGGGATCATCTCCAAACTGCTGTCTGAACGGTGGGCAGATGCCTATGATTTAGATGGTTTGAGGGCTGATCTTACATAAAAA